TGGAGCTTACAAATCTAGGAGGGAGGGGCTGATCCTGGGAGATTTACAATCTAAGAGGGAGGGGCTGATCCTGGAAGTTTTACAATCTAGGAGGGAGGGGCCTGATCCCGGGAGTTTACAATCTAAGGAGGGAGAGGCTGATCCCGGGAGTTTACAATCTAGGAGGGAGGGGCTCGATGATCTGGAGCTTACAATCTAAGAGGGGGTCTGATCCTGGGAGCTTACAATCTAAGAGGGAGGGGCTGATCCCTGGGAGCTTACTCAATCTAAAGAGGGAGGGGCTGATCCTGGGAGCTTACATATCTAAGAGGGAGGGGCTTTGATCCCGGGAGCTTACAATCTAAGAGGGGAGGGGCTGATCCTGGGAGTCTTACAGATCTAAGAGGGAGGTGGGCTGATCCTGGGAGCTTTACAATCTAAGGAGGGAGGGGCTGATCCTGGGAGCTTAATCTAAAAGAGGGAGGGGGGCTGATCCTGGGAGCTTACAATCTAAGAGGGAGGGGCCTGATCCTGGGAGCATTACAATCTAAGAGGGAGGGGCTGATCCTGGGATTTTACAATCTAAGAGGGAGGGGCTGATCCCGGGAGTTTACAATCTAAGGGGAGTGGCTGATCCCCGGGAGTTTACAATCTAAGAGGGAGGGGCTGATCCCGGGAGTTTACAATCTAGTGAGTGGGAGGGGCTGATCACGCCATCCTGGGAGTTTTACAATCTAGGAGGGGAGGGGCTGATCCTGGGAGTTTACAATCTAAGAGGGAGGGGCTTGATCCTGGGAGCTTACAATCTTATCTAAGAGGGAGGGGCTGATCCTGAGAGTTTACAATCTAGGAGGGAGGGGCTGATCCTGGGAAGCTTACAATCTAGGAGGGAGGGTCTGATCCTGGGAGTTTACAATCTAAGAGGGAGGGCTGATCCTGGGAGCTTACAATCTAAGAGTGGAGGGGCTGATCCTGGGAGCTTTACAATATCTAAGAGGGAGGGGCTGATCCTGGGAGCTTACACAATCTAAGAGGGAGGGGCTGATCCTGGGAGCTTACAATCTAAGAGGGAGGGGCTGATCCTGGGAGCTTACAATCTAAGAGGGAGGGCTGATCCTGGGAGCTTTACAATCTAAGAGGGAGGGGCTGATCCCGGCGAGCTTACAATCTAAGAGGGAGTGGCTGATGATCCTGGGAGAGTTTACAATCTAATGGAGGGAGGGGCTGATCCCGGAGATATTACAATCTAGGAGGGAGGGCGGAGGGCTGATCCTGGGAGTTTACAATTAGGATTCAGGAGGGGCTGATCCTGGGAGCTTACAATCTCTAGTAGAGGGAGGGGCTGAATCCCTGGGTAGAGCTTACAATCTAGGAGGGGAGGGTCTGATCCTGGGAGTTTACAATCTAAGAGGGAGGGGGTCTGATCCCGGGAGCTTACAATGATCTAGGGAGGGAGGGGCTGATCCTGGGAGCTTGTAGCTTTACAATCTAGGAGGGGAGGGGCAGATCCTTGGGAGCTTACAATCTAGGATGGGAGGGGCTGATCCTGGAGCTTACAATCTAATTAGGGAGGGGCTGATCCTGCGGGAGCTTACAATCTAAGAGGGAGGGGGTCTGATCTCCTGGGAGGTAGCTTACAATCAAAGGGGAGGGGCTGATCCTGGGAGCTTACAAATCTAAGAGGGAGGGTCTTATCCTTGGAGCTTACAATCTAGGAGGTGAGGGGGCTGATCCCTGGGAGTTTACAATCTAAGAGTGGAGGGGCTGATCCTGGGAGCTTTACAATCTAAGAGGGAGGGGCTGATCCGTGGGAGTTTACAATCTAAGAGTGGAGGGGCTGATCCTGGGAGCTTACAATCTAAGAGGGAGGGGCTGATCCTGGAGCTTTAAAACTAAGAGGGTGAGGGGGGCTGATCCTGGGAGCTTTACAATCTAAGGGAGGGGTGGCCTGGATCCCGGGAGCATTTACAATCTAAGAGGGAGTGGGCTGATCCCGGGAGTTTACAATCTAAGAGGGAGGGGCTGATCCCGGGAGCTTACAATCTAGGAGGGGAGGGGCTGATCCCGGGAGTTTTTACAATCTAGGAGGGGAGGGGCTGATCCTGGGAGCTTACAATCTAGGAGGGGGGGCTGATCCTGGGAGTTTACAATCTAAGAGGGAGGGCTGATCCTGGGAGCTTACAATCTAAGAGGGAGGGGCTGATCCTGGGAGCTTTACAATCTAAGAGGGAGGGGCTGATCCTGGGAGTTTACAATCTAGGAGGGAGGGGCCTGATCCTGGGAGTTTACAATCTAAGAGGGAGGGCCTGATCCTGGGAGTTTACAATCTAGGAGGGAGGGGGCTGATCCCGGGAGTTTACAGTCTAGGAGGGAGAGGGCCTGATCCTGAGAGCTTACAATCTAAGAGGGAGGGCCTGATCCTGGGAGTTTACAATCTAGGAGGGAGGGGCTCATCCCAGGGAGTTTACAGTCTAGGAGGGAGAGGCTGATCCCGGGAGTTTACAATCTAGGAGGAGAGGGGGAGATCCTGGGAGCTTACAATCTAAGAGGGAGGGGCTGATCCCCGGGAGTTTACAATCTAGGAGGGAGGGGGTCTGATCCCGGGACTTTACAATCTAAGAGGGAGGGGCTTGATCCCCGGAGCTTACAATCTACGGAGTGAGGGGCTGATCCTGGGAGAGTTTACAATCTAAGAGGGAGGGCCTGATCCTGGAGTGTTTACAATCTAAGGAGGGAGGGGCCTGTATCCGGGAGTTTACAATCTAAGAGGGAGGGGCTGATCCTGGGAGCTTACAATCTAAGAGGAGGGCCTGATCCTGGGAGCTTACAATCTAAGAGGGAGGGTGCTGATCCTGGGAGTTTACAATCTAGGAGGGTGGGGTTGATCCTGTGAGTTTACAATCTAGGAGGGAGGGGCTGATCCTGTGAGTTTACAATCTAGGAGGGAGGGGCTGATCATCCTGGGAGTTTACAATCTCTAGGAGAGGGAGGGGCTGATCCTGGGAGCTTACAATATATGAGGGAGGGGCTGATCCTGGGAGCTTTACAATCTAGGAGGGAGGGGCTGATCCTGGGAGCTTACAATCTAGGAGGGAGGGGCTGATCCTGGGAGCCTAAAATCTATGAGGGAGGGCCTGTTTCTCCCGGGAGTTTACATCTAGGAGGGAGGGGCTTATCCTGGGAGTTTACAAATCTAGGAGGGAGGGGCTGATCCTGGGAGTTTACAATCTAGGAGGGAGGGGCTGATCCTATGAGTTTACAATCTAGGAGGGAGGGGCCTGATCCTGGGAGTTTACAATCTAGGAGGGAGGGGCTGATCCTGGGAGTTTACAATCTAGGAGGGAGGGGGCTGATCCTGGGAGCTGACAATCTAGGAGGGAGGGGCTGATCCTGGGAGTTTACAATCTAGGAGGGAGGGGCTGATCCTGGGAGTTTACAATCTTGGAGGGAGGGGCTGATCCTGGGAGCTGACAATCTAGGAGGGAGGGGCTGATCCTGGGAGCTGACAATCTAAGAGGGAGGGGACACATACAAGCATCATAAAAGGGCATCCTAGGGGCTCATTCACACCTGAGTTTATTTTCTAACTCTTGCCACGCCCCCCCCATAGCGTTTGGCAGGCGTTAGACAGGGCGTTTGTGATGCGTTTCTAACACTCTGCAAACGCTCCAAGAACACCCTCTGCGCGGTTTTGTGGCGGTTGGTCGGCGTTTGCCAAGCGTTTAAAAACGCACGCACACAAACACCTATAATGAGGTTTAATGGTGCTAACGCTCCACAAACGCCCAGCAAGCATAGCCCTGAATGGGAGCTTCAACTCCTCTGGACTCAACCAGAGGCGTCTGTTTTGCCGCGATTGCTAACGCTTCCGTGTGAACAGCGCTGTGTGCTGCAATGGGCAGAATTTTCAGAGGTGTTTGGAAAGCGTTAAAAAATGCTTCCCAAATGCCCGTCTGCCGCCCCCTGCTGACAGCGCCAGTGTGAACGCAGCCATTGTGTCATCCAATAAAATCTCACTTTAGCTTTTTACTTCACCGGCTCTTTAATTATTCGCAAAATCGCCTTCAGACACTAAAAAAGTATTATATGTGTCTCCGAAAATTCTGCCCCCGCCCCCCACGTTCGCTCTAGTCACCTAGGTGATGGGAAATGGAAGTTTTCCTCCCCCCTGCAGACTCCATGCAAAATGCGGAAACTGTTCTGTGTGCTTCCTGAAGACCAGCGGCGGGGGCGGCGGGGGGCAGGAGGCATCTATTGTATTGCGCAGCTCCTCAGTTCTTAGACGTGGCGGCCGCATTCGTTATCCTTTTTAGGCTTCCTTTCTTCTATTTTCATTGAATGATCCGGCCAGCAAGTCTGTTATTTTTTTTTTAAAAAAAGCTGTCCTGCAGACGTAGCTGTTAAAGGATCTAGGCAAACCATCGACCACTGACGGGGAAGGGGGGGGAGGGGCTTACAATGATCGGCATTTACTTATATAAAACTTTTATCCCAAAAGGAACAAAAACTTTTACTGTAACTGATTATAAAGTGTGAGTGTTAGTGTATCCAAATCTGCCAGTCCAACACTCCCCCCCCCCCAGACTGACAATGCTGCTGTGCAAAGGTGTCCCCTGTGCTCCTTCCTCCAGAGTGGGGCGCTCTAATACAGGAGGGGTGTTACTGGTCCGATCACCAGGTGAGAACAGAGGAGGGGAAGGTGAATGCAGCGTCCGCCTGGAGGGATGGCTGGCTGAGCTGGGGATGGACATTGGGTGTGATGTGTAGGAGGAGGTGGTGCGGGCACTAGGACCCGGGGGGGGTGGTGCAGGATAGGTGTGTGCTGATCTCCTCCTGAGTGTCAGTCTGTAGAGAGGAGCTCACACAGCAGGAGCGCGTACAGTACAGACACTGGAGGCAGTGCAGCCCCCCCCCCCCCCCCTATGGACATGCTGTCCCTCCTCAGTCACCCGCTGTGGTTCCTCTGCTCCCTGGTCCTGGCCGTGGTCCTCCGCATACAGAAGGGGGGCAGGTGGGACCCCAAAAAGTGCCGCGTACACCTGACCGGGAAAACCGCCATCTGACTGACCACGGAGCCAACACAGAGGTGAGTGTAGCTGCGGCATATGGAACACAGTCAGCTGGCTGAGTGTCAGCTGGGAGCCGAGTGTCAGTGAGAGGTGAGTGTCAGCTGGGAGCCGAGTGTCAGCTGGAGCCGAGTGTCGGTGAGAGGTGACTGTTGGTGAGAGCTGAGTGTCAGCTGGGAGCCGAGTGTCGGTGAGAGCTTGGGAGTGAGTGTCACTTGATTGTTGGACTGTATACAATGTGTATATATATATATATCCCCCAGAAGTGAGCCCCCCCCCCGGACTGTATACAATGTATATATATATATTACAGCATCCCCCAGAAATGAGCCCCCCCTCCCCCGGACTGTATACAATGTATATATATATATATATATATCACAGCATCTCCCAGAGTAGTGAGCCCCCCCCCCCCGGACTGTATACAATGTATATATATATATATATACAGCATCCCCCAGAAATGAGCCCCCCCTCCCCCGGACTGTATACAATGTATATATATATATCCAGTATCCCCCAGAAGTGAGTCCCCCCTCCCCCGGACTGTATACAATGTATATATATATATCCAGTATCCCCCAGAAGTGAGTCCCCCCCCCCCAAAGTGAAAAGGTGCAACTTGGACCCAATGAGCCATTCCCCCCCCCCCCCCGGTGTCATGTGACTCGTTGGTGTTACAAGTCTCAGGTGTGTGAATGGGGAGCAGGGGGGGGGGTTTACATTTGGTGTTATCGCTCTCACTCTCATACTGGTCACTGGAAGTTCAGCATGGCACCTCATGGCAAAGAACTCAACAAGGAATCTGAAATAAAGAATTGTTGCTCTACATAAAGATGGCCGAGAGCTATAAGAAGATTTCCAAGACCCTGAAACTGAGCTGCAGTACGGTGGCCAAGACCATACAGCGGTGTAACAGGACAGGTTTCACTCAGAACAGGCCTCACCATGGTCCACCAAAGAAGTTGAGTGTGCGCGTGCTCAGCGTCATATCCAGAGGTTGTCTTTGGGAAATAGACGTATGAGTGCTGCCAGCATTGCTGCAGAGGGTGTGTAGGGGGGGGGGGTGGTCAGCCTCATGGCAGTGGTGCCAGCATTGCTGCAGAGGGTGAGTAGGGGTGGGGGGGTCAGCCTGTCAGTGGTGCCAGCATTGCTGCAGAGGGTGTAGGGGGGGGGGGGGTCAGCCTGTCAGTGGTGGCCAGCATTGCTGCAGAGGGTGAAGGGGTGGGGGGTCAAGGGAAGGGGTGGGGGGGGTCAGCCTGTCAGTGGGGGGCCAGCATTGCTGCAGAGGGGTGAAGGGGGGGGGGTGTAGGGGGGGTCAGCCTGTCAGTGGGGCCAGCATTGCTCAGAGGGTGTGGGGGGGTGGGGGGTCAGCCTGTCAGTGGTGCCAGCATTGCTGCAGAGGGTGTAAGGGGTGGGGGGTCAGCCTGTCAGTGGGGCCAGCATTGCTGCAGAGGGTGAAGGGGGGGGGTCAGCCTGTCAGTGGGGCAGCATTGCTGCAGAGGGTGTAGGGGTGGGGGGGTCAGCCTGTCAGTGGGCCAGCATTGCTGCAGAGGGTGAGGGGTGTCAGTGGGGGCATGTGCTGCAGAGGGGGGGGGGGGGGGTCAGCCTGTCAGTGGTGCCAGCATTGCTGCAGAGGGTGAAGGGGGTGGGGGGTCAGCCTGTCAGTGGGGGCCAGCATTGCTGCAGAGGGTGAAGGGGTGGGGGGGTCAGCCTGTCAGTGGGGCCAGCATTGCTGCAGAGGGTGTAAGGGGGGGGGGTCAGCCTGTCAGTGGGGTCAGATTGCTGCAGAGGGTGAAGGGGTGGGGGGGGTCAGCCAGAGTCAGTGGGGGGTCAGGCCTGCCAGCAGCAGCTTGCTGCAGAGGGTGTAGGGGGTGGGGGGTCAGCCTGTCAGTGGGGCCAGCATTGCTGCAGAGGGTGTAGGGGTGGGGGGTCAGCCTGTCAGTGGGGCCAGCATTGCTGCAGAGGGTTGTAGGGGGGGGGGTCAGGGGGGTCAGCCTGTCAGTGTAGGGGCCAGCATTGCTGCAGCAGGGTGAAGGGGTGGGGGGTCAGCCTGTCAGTGGTGCCAGCATTGCTGCAGAGGGTGAAGGGTGGGGGAGTCAGCCTGTCAGTGGGGCCAGCATTGCTGCAGAGGGTGAAGGGGTGGGGGTCAGCCTTGCAGTGGGGCAGCATTGCTGCAGAGGGTGTAGGGGGTGGGGGGCCTGGGTTCAGTCAGCCTGTCAGTGGGGCCAGCATTGCTGCAGAGGGTGAAGGGGTGGGGGGGGCAGCCTGTCAGTGGGGCCAGCATTGCTGCAGAGGGTTGTAGGGGTGGGGGGGGTCAGCCTGTCAGTGGGGCCAGCATTGCTGCAGAGGGTGTAGGGGGTGGGGGGTCAGCCTGTCAGTGGGGTCAGCATTGCCAGAGGGTTGAAGGGGTCAGTCAGTGGGGCCAGCATTGCTGCAGAGGGTGTAGGGGGGGGGGTGGGGTCAGCATTTGCTGTCAGTGGGTTGCCAGCATTGCTGCAGTGGGGGTGCTGCAGAGGGTGGGGGGGGGTCAGCCTGTCAGTGGTGCCAGCATTGCTGCAGAGGGTGAAGGGGTGGGGGGTCAGCCTGTCAGTGGGGCCAGCATTGCTGCAGAGGGTGTAGGGTGGGGGGTCAGCCTGTCAGTGGGGCCAGCATTGCTGCAGAGGGTGTAGGGGTGGGGGGTCAGCCTGTCAGTGGGGCCAGCATTGCTGCAGAGGGTGAAGGGGGGGTGGGGGGTCAGCCTGTCAGTGGTGCCAGCATTGCTGCAGAGGGTGAAGGGGTGGGGGGTCAGCCTGTCAGTGGGCCAGCATTGCTGCAGAGGGTGAAGGGGTGTGTCAGGGTGGGTGCATTGTGCAGAGGGTCAGCCAGTGGGGTCAGCCCTGGCAGTGGGGGCATGGTGGGGGGGTCAGCCTGTCAGTGGGGCCAGCATTGCTGCAGAGGGTGAAGGGGTGGGGGGGTCAGCCTGTCAGTGGGGGTGCCAGCATTGCTGCAGAGGGTGTAGGGGGGGGGGGTCAGCCTGTCAGTGGGGCCAGCATTGCTGCAGAGGGTGTAGGGGGTGGGGTGGGGGTCAGCTGTCAGTGGGCCCAGCATTGCTGCAGAGGGTGTAGGGGTGGGGGGGGTCAGCCTGTCAGTGGTGCCAGCATTGCTGCAGAGGGTGTAGGGGTGGGGGTCAGCCTGTCAGTGGTGCCAGCATTGCTGCAGAGGGTGAAGGGGTGGGGGGTCAGCCTGTCAGTGGTGCCAGCATTGCTGCAGAGGGTGAAGGGGTGGGGGGGTCAGCCTGTCAGTGGTGCCAGCATTGCTGCAGAGGGTGAAGGGGTGGGGGGTCAGCCTGTCAGTGGGGCCAGCATTGCTGCAGTGGGGTCCCAGCATTGCTGCAGAGGGTGAAGGGGGGGTCAGCCTGTCAGTGGGGGTCAGCATTGCTGCAGAGGGTGAAGGGGGTGGGGGGTCAGCCTGTCAGTGCTGCAGCATTGCTGCAGGGGGTGTAGGGGGGTCAGCCTGTCAGTGGGGCCAGCATTGCTGCAGAGGGTGAAGGGGTGGGGGGTCAGCCTGTCAGTGGGGCCAGCATTGCTGCAGAGGGTGTAGGGGGTGGGGGGGGGTCAGCCTGTCAGTGGTGCCAGCATTGCTGCAGAGGGTGTAGGGGTGGGGGGTCAGCCTGTCAGTGGTGCCAGCATTGCTGCAGAGGGTGAAGGGGTGGGGGGTCAGCCTGTCAGTGGGGTCAGCATTGCTGCAGAGGGTGAAGGGGTGGGGGGTCAGCCTGTCAGTGGGGCCAGCATTGCTGCAGAGGGTGTAGGGGGGGTCAGCCTGGCAGTGGTGCCAGCATTGCTGCAGAGGGTGTAGGGGTGGGGGGTCAGCCTGTCAGTGGTGCCAGCATTGCTGCAGAGGGTGTAGGGGTGGGGGGTCAGCCTGTCAGTGGGGCCAGCATTGCTGCAGAGGGTGTAGGGGTCAGCCTGTCAGTGGGGCCAGCATTGCTGCAGAGGGTGAAGGGGGTGTCAGCCTGTCAGTGGGGCCAGCATTGCTGCAGAGGGTGAAGGGGTGGGGGGGTCAGCCTGTCAGTGGGGCCAGCATTGCTGCAGAGGGTGTAGGGGGGTCAGGGGGGGGTCAGCCTGTCAGTGGGGCCAGCATTGCTGCAGAGGGTGTAGGGGGGTCAGCCTGTCAGTGGGGCCAGCATTGCTGCAGAGGGTGTAGGGGGGGGGTCAGCCTGTCAGTGGGGCCAGCATTGCTGCAGAGGGTGAAGGGGTGGGGGGGGGGGTCAGCCTGTCAGTGGGGCCAGCATTGCTGCAGAGGGTGTAAGGGGTGGGGGGTCAGCCTGTCAGTGGGGCCAGCATTGCTGCAGAGGGTGTAGGGGGGGGGTCAGCCTGTCAGTGGGGCCAGCATTGCTGCAGAGGGTGTAGGGGGGGGGGGGGTCAGCCTGGCAGTGGTGCCAGCATTGCTGCAGAGGGTGTAGGGGTGGGGGGGGTCAGCCTGTCAGTGGTGCCAGCATTGCTGCAGAGGGTGAAGGGGTGGGGGGTCAGCCTGTCAGTGGTGCCAGCATTGCTGCAGAGGGTGAAGGGGTGGGGGGTCAGCCTGTCAGTGGTGCCAGCATTGCTGCAGAGGGTGAAGGGTGGGGGGGTCAGCCTGTCAGTGGTGCCAGCATTGCTGCAGAGGGTGTAGGGGGGGGTCAGCCTGTCAGTGGGGCCAGCATTGCTGCAGAGGGTGAAGGGGTGGGGGGTCAGCCTGTCAGTGGGGCCAGCATTGCTGCAGAGGGTGTAGGGGGGTCAGCCTGTCAGTGGTGCCAGCATTGCTGCAGAGGGTGTAGGGGGGGGGGGGTCAGCCTGTCAGTGGGAGCGTCACGGTCTGGGGCCGCATGGCGGTGGGGGCGTCGTGGTCTGGGGCCGCATGGCGGTGGGGGCGTCGTGGTCTGGGGCCGCATGGCGGTGGGGGCGTCGTGGGTCTGGGGCGGCGGTGGGGGCGCCGTGGTCTGGGGCCGCATGAGTGCTGCCGGCACTGGGGGGCTACAGTTCACGCACCTCCAAGACCACCG